CGGGGCTTTTTCAGTGGCTGAAGAGAGGAGAAGGAAGTACAGGAAGGCTGTCTCGTCTCCACCCGTGTGGGCAGTCGGGGTCCACTAAGAGGGCTAAGAGCCTTTGGCTTACATCAGGGAGTGGCCCTGACCAGAAAACCTCAATTGCTCCTTCGCCTTTAATGGTCCCACGTGAAGACTTGAGCCGAAAATAGAAGGAAAGGTAAAAAGAGTGGAGGAAAACTTAAAATGGAGAATCTAGAAAAACCAGATCTTCCCCTTTAAGATAATAATGTAACCTTCAAACACATGCATATCACATTAAATTACATTCATGTGGACTGATCCTTTCACTCAAATGCACACTGCATTTATTATGTTTACTTTTAGGATCCCCAGGCACAAATACAGACAAGACAAAACAAAATCCTTACTGCGCGCTTCTTAACCCAAAAACTGAAAGTACGGATCAGGAGGGGAGTAGCCAAGCTAATCTCCCTTCTCCCGAGGTGAGGAAAACTGCGCTGTCCTCCTCACTTCAGATCACTCTGGCCACTAAGGTCAGAGTGGTGGAACCTGGGGTCTCTGGGCACGTCTGCCACTCCCGCTGGTTCCCAGAATACAGACTTATAGGTCCTGTACAGGCACAACTGTTCAGACGGAACGTTCCCAGAGCAGAAAATGACTGACAGACATTAAGACCAAGACAAACCACAAAACAAATATTCTTACCTCCTGCTGATCTGAGGAAATGGGTCTGGGGGCGACCAAATCCCGGACGAGCCCCCAAGTGTTGGACCCCCCCCAGACTGGGGTAAAGATATTGAAAGTGTTGGACCCCCAGACTGGGGTACCCAACGTTCACAGGAGGTCGCACCCCAATAACTCAGTCCTCAAATCAGGAGATGCAACAAGCATGAGGATTTATTGGCGTTTTGCAAAACAGACTCCCACCTCACTCGGAAGTCCAGAGCCCAGTTCACAGGTTTCTTTTAAAGACAAGTGGTGGCTATGTGCCAAGCACAGGTAGGGGGAATTTCTGGGATGATTTACAGCTTGGTCAAAGGAGCATGAAAAAGGTCAGCTCAGCTTGTTCTTAGCATTCAGAATTATTTTTTATTTTTACTTCCTTGTACAGTTTTTCTCAGGCCTGGGGCATTTTAGTTTAAATCCATCATTTTGGAGGGACTTGGGCCCATCACATCTACATGTATGTCCAGCTCAGCCCAGTCCAGTATCAATAACTGGTGTGTGAGCTTGTCTACATAGATGCCCAGCCCAGCCCAGTCCAGCCCTGCCCAGCCTCTTATCAATTACATGTGTGAGGGCAAATTTACATTGATGCCCAGACCAGCCCAACCTAGTCCAGCCCCTTCTCAGTTACATGTGTCTGGTCACATCTGTGTTAATTCCAGCCTAGCCCCTTTTTACTTACAAATCTGTAGGTGTACAGGCCTTTAATCCCGGCACTGGGGAAGCAGAGACAGGAAGATCCTAGGGGCTTGTTGACTAGCCAGTTTAGCCAAATTGGCAAGCTCCAGATTCAGTGAAAGACCTTGTCTCAAAAAATAGGGTGAAGATTGATCGAGGAAGACACCTGATGGACGTCTGCCTTTCACATGCATGTGCACACACACATGCATGCACAAACATATACACATATGTACACACAAGATTAAAAAAAATATTTTTTTTGTCTTTTTGAGACAGGGTCTCCCTGTAATCCCAGCTGGAACTTGCTATGGCAACCAGGCTGGCCTTGATCTCACAGAGATCTGCCTGCCTCTGCCTCCTGAATGCTGGGATTAAAGGCATGTGCCACCATGCCTGACATAAAAATTTCTTTATTACAAGGGGTTGGAGAAGTGGCTCAGCAGTTAAGAACACTGACTTTTCTTGCACAGGACCAAGGTTTGGATCCCAGCACCAATGTGGCAGCTAACAACATCTGTAACTCCAGTTCCAAGGGAACTGACGTCTTCTTCTGTCCTCCAAGGGCATTGCACATACAGGCTTACTTATGTACATGGGGGTAAAACACTCATACACAGAAAAAAATTTTTTTCCCTTCCTTCCCTCCCCTGTCCTTCCCTCCTCTCCCCTCCTCTCCCCTCCTCTTCCCTCCTCTTCCCTCTGTTTTGAGTTATGGTCTCCTTGTACTCCCAGCTGGCCTGGAACTCACTATATAGACCAGGCTGGTTTGGCTCCCATAGAAATCCGTCTGCTTCCCAAATGCTGGAATTAAAGGCATGTGTCGTCTTCCCCCGAATCCCTCTCATCCTTTATTTACTGTAGAACATTTCTTCTTCCCTCTGTCATAGTATTAAGGTTTTATTTTTTGATTAGTTTGAATCTAAAAGCTGATTTTTAGTGCAGGCCACAAATTCCAGTCATGCTGTCACATGGAGTTGCTAATGATGAATGCAGCTAGCTTTATTGGGTCATGTCTGGTCCTCGCCAGTAGTGAGTGTATCTTTGCCATTGGTTCATTGTGCCTGCATTGAATAATATGCTTTCTTTAACAAGTTATAAAATTTGCTTTTGAAATTTATTTAACCATTAGGCTTCTGCTTTTCAGTTTACTTCATTGTGCTAATCTAAAGGCTTATGTGTGTGTGTGACAAGCTTCAAACATTCATATAGTGGAAGAGCAAATTCCTTATTTTCTGCAGTTATTCAAAAACACTTTCCCCCAAATGGCTAGACTTTGAAGTCTTTTTCTTTGATTTTGCAAAGTCTGGATCAAGAAAATGACACCGTTGCTTCACTGCGTGTTATTCATATTATCCTGTGTAATATAACCCAGAGTTGAATAAAGATGGGGTGTAAATGTTATTTGGTATGCCTTAATGTTTAATGGTTCTTTCCCAGAACTTGATGGAGAGTTTGGATTCACTGCTTTGTGCTGAAGGTTCTGAAAGCCTGAAAAGTTTATGTCTGAAACTTCTCCTTTGCTTAGTTACTGTAAGTGACCCATCTATGTGTTTGTCAAGGGTATTAATTACATCAGGAACAAGCTTATTTGAATACTTGTTCAGTTAGAAGGTAAAAGAGAAATTCTCTGCTGGCATAGTATGTCATTCCTTTTTGTCTGAATGTTAAGTGCACCCATTAGCCAGGTGTGATGGGGCACGCCTTTAATTTCAGCACTTCAGAGGCAGAGGCAAGTGGATCTCTGTGTGTTCAAGGCCAGCCTGGTCTACAGATACTGTGTTTCAGGCCAGCAGGGGCTACAGGGAGACCCTGTCTTTCAAAAAGACCAAAAAAATAATATGTTCAACCATGTCGTGAAATACCCTTGGAGGTCAGAAGAGAGTGTCGAATTCTTCTGAAACTGTAGTTATGGATGGTTGTTAGCTGTCATGTGAGTGCTGGGAATCGAACCCAGGTCCTCTGTAAGAGCAGTCGGAGCACTTAACTGATGAGCCCCTATTTTTTATTTTACTAAAAAATTATTCTCTGTGTGTGCATGTGCATGTATACTTGCATGCATGGTGGTCAGAGGACAACTTGGAGGAGTTGATTCTTTCCTTCCACTATGTGGGATCCAGGAATCAACTGAGATCATCAGGCTTGGCAGCAAGTGTCTTAATCTACTGAGCCATCTCATAAGTCCGAAAGATACCACTTTAGAAGGACCATTCTAGATTCTGGATTGTCAGATTTGTTCTTCTTATCACATCTCATTTGAAAATGGTTCTTGTGATTCTGAAATGTTTTTGTTTGTTCTGACTTTGATTTTATCACTGTAGTCTTGCCTCCATGTCCCAGTGAAAGAGTTGGGTGTTAACTTATTTCAGGTGGTTCCTTTTCCTTGCCACCTCTTGGAGACTTTTACATTTACAGACATCATGTGCATTTGAAGAAACTGTTAAGTAAATACTTGTGAGGGTAGGAGAGAAACAGTAAGAAGTTTAAAATTTTAGGAAGGTTCATATGTAGGTATGTGGTATTTTTTTTTTTAATGAGGCAGGGTCTCATTCTAGCCCAGGCTGACCTGGAACAGTCTGCAACCTAGGACGGCTCCAAACTCACAATGATCCGCTTACTTCCACCTTCCCCACCCTTCACCAAGCACTGGGTTTATAGGCATATGCTATGACCCAGCAAGGACTTTTCCTTCCTTTATAGTATCTGTGTATTCAAGCTGTGGTGATAGCTTTGAAGTGCTTGTGAAAGGTTTACTAAATATCTAGTGGATGGTTTTAACATTTCTGTTTTACTTAAATGCTCAAGTAGGAAATACACATGAGATGTCAGGTGCCTCAGTACAAACCTTAAAAGCCTTTTGTGCTTTTTTGTTTTGTTTTGTTTTTTTGCTTTTTGATGGTCCTGGGGATTGAACTCTGTGCCTTGCGAATGTTAGGCAAGTGTTCTACCACTGTGTTGCTTCCCAGCGCTTAAAAACCTTTTATTGCATTCAGGTGACAGACAACATCAGCCAGAACACTATCCTGGAATATGTAATGATCAACAGTATATTTGAAGCAATTTTACAGGTAGGTCAACTTCTTCATGACCTTTCTCTTTTAGATGGACCATCTCTTCAAATTTTCAGTCTGTTTTCCTAGGAAGCAGGAGTTGGCACTTAAGAGTGATGCATTGTGCTTCTTGTTACAGATTCTGTCCCATCCCCTAAGTCGCAGGGAACATGGCTATGATGCTGTTGTCCTCTTGGCTTTGCTGGTCAACTACAGAAAATATGAGGTAGGTGGGTCCCTAGTGTACAGTTATTATTTTTACAGTCTTCTTGGTAGGTGTGCTGTCACTTTTTTTTTTTTTGATGAAGAGTCTTACTGTGCAATCCTGGCTGGCCTGGAACTTGTTATGTCGACCAGGCTGTCCTGAATTCACAGTGATTCACCTGCCTCTGTCTTTGTCTCTTGAGTGTTGTGATTAAAAAGTGTGTTATCACCATGCCCAGCCATGGTGTCACTTCTGAAATACTTGGTTTAATATAGAAGACATATACTTGGAATGATGTATTCAGACTAGCCTTAAATTCACTATGCAGCTGAGAATGACAGTCAACTTCTGATCCCTTTGGGATTGCAGGATGTACCACCACACCTGGTATCTACCTAGCTACTTTTTAAAAAGAAAAAAGTGTTTGGATTTCTCTCTGGATATTCCATACTAAAGCAGAATATTGTGGGAGAGGGGCTAGG